TTCTTTTTCCTTGACTCCTATAGTATACCTTCATGATCATCATTTCACAGGTGATGAATCTGAGGCCTAGATAGTCAGTGGGAGAGTTGGGACTAGACCTCAGGTTTCTAGGTGCCCAGCCCTGGCTTTCAGAGATTTCTGGGGCTAATCCAGAATATAGAAGTTTGAAAGATGATTCCCTACTTCTGGATCTCTTGCTATTTTGTAGTATATTTCATATATTTTTTATTTGTAAGGCAATTAGGGTGTTGATATCCTTGCCTCATATAATACTGAAAAACGTGATTGTAGAAGACATATGTGTCGAAATGCTAAATAAAAAATGACTCAGTCAGAAAAATTTAGATTGCATTAGCGTCTTAATGTATTTTAGGGAGAATTCAGAAGTTGGACAGAAATGACATAAAATTAGATTTTAGGGTTTAAGAATACATAAGCAGTGTAATAATTACTCATACTTTTGCCCATATTTTATAAATCTGCCACGGTGTAATTCCCACTGACTTCAAAAGAAGCTCTATATGTGGACTTAGGAAGTATGAGAGAAATGTGATAAAAAATCTTGGCAATTTTGAATTATAGTGCTTTTTGCAAATAGAGTATTTCCTGGCACTTGCTCTGTATAAACAACTAAGCAATACAGCACACCTTTCTTTACTATAACAGGCTTCTACTTAATGAGGTTTGGGTATATATTATAACCATTGTAGCTACTGGGTAGAAAGTATTCCAAGTACAGCACATAAGTGAAGGGCAGCTGGGGGTAAGCACAGCAGTGCTTTCTCTTTGTAGTGAGAGTGCTTTGAAGAGTACAACGAGAATAGTTAGTTTAGCCACAGGACTTCACACTGTAGAGAATCAACTGACTTAGTACTGGCTTGAAAATTTATTTTGCCTGCTGTCCCTTTGTGGGACTTTCTTTGTTTGAAGCAAAGTACGGGCCCTGGTTGAACCTGCACAGAACATGGAGTTTGCAGGACCAGAGAATGATGTGTCCCCAGGGCTTCTTTACAAGCTGACTAATGGTATGTAGACCTCAGTGGGCTTGCTCCTTTCCTGTTTTGCACTAGGGTGCCATCAAGTGGCATTGTCCAGAACTGAAGCTGCTATTGCAGCTCTCCCTCTTCTGCCAAGCACTGCTGAGAAACACGTTTTTGCATTTTAATTTGGAGGAATGATACTGCTTTGGATCAAGAATTATAGGGAAGCGATAAACTGACAATAATGAGGTCAGAGGCGTGTGTGGCAGTTGGATCCTTAAGCAACCATTATATTTGGCATCCTCTTAAATCCAGCATTCTCAGAGAGAGAATTAAAAATTATTTAAAGCCCTTTTCTTTACTGGAATAAACTTTAATGCAGTTTTTCAAATAGCCAGGTGATTTATTCATTTGGGCAATAGCAATTATTGCCTTAATTGTAGGATATAATGCTAATTTAGATTTTTTTTTCCTGTACACTGTATTGTGTGTTCACCACCCAAAGTCAAGTCTCTGTCCATCACCATTTATCCCCTCTATACCCTCTTCCACCTCCCTCCACTCTCTCCACCCTACAATCACCACACTGTTGTTCATGAATTTTTTCTCTCTTTTTTCTTTTTTGCTCAGTAACCACCCTCACCCCCCACTCCCACCCCCACTGTGTCTGCTGCATCTAGGGTGGTATGCCCAGTGCTTGGGCATAATGTGAGATCTCTGTCCTCAAAACCTTGCAGAATTGCTTGGGAAACAAGTGAATGAATGAAAAGGAACAATGTGACAAATGCCAAATGCAATGGCATGGGTATCAGGTTTGGGGCTATCTCAGGGGTATTGTGCAGGAAAACTGGGACTTGAGCCTTCAGAGGAAGGGGAGACCTTAGCAGATAGTGAAGGCATTTGAGAGCCTGAGGAATGAGCTCATGTGCATGGGACTTGAGGTAAGAAGTGAGGGACCCAGAGTGACTGAGAGTTCTGTTCAGGAAATAGTGAGAGGGGTCAGAATTCAGATGAAGATTAGATTGTGAAGAACTTAAATGAGAGTTTGACCAATTACCTTTCTATAAGAATGGGCCACAATAAGAGGGTAATTGTGAATGAATTAATCTTGGGATGTATCAGTGAGGCAGTTTTAATGCTTTTTCCCTTCATTTAAGTACTAAAGCGATTAAATGTGCAAATTGAGGGATTTTAGAGGAGTTGATCTTTAAAGTTTCTTCTGTTTTTAATTTAGTGAATTTAAATGTAACTCTGGAAGAAATAAATTTGCAAGGAGACTTTTAAAATTACATTTAATGATATTAATTTTAAAGGGAACAGCTGGCTCAGAAACTTTACTAGTAACTTTTAAGATCTAAAGCAAGCATGTCAGACTTGCGGCCCGGCCAATATAATGGTATGTTAGAAACATTTTAATAAAAATTTTGTAACTTAATTTTTAAAATATCCTGTTATACATAATCCTATCTAATAAAAGACAAAAAGGGTAATTGACCATACCTTCGCTACGCTTCCCATTGGCTAATCAGTGCCATATGCAAATTAACTGCCATAAAAGAAGGTGGCTAATTTGCATACTGCAGGCAGGGCTGGCCAGCGCCAGACGCCATCCGGGCCCCATGTGCGGCCCTGGGCGGCTGGGCTTAGGCAGTGCGATCGCATCACCTAAACCCTGCCCCCAGCCGGGACCCCCATGTGCTGCCTAAGCCCCGCTGCCAGCTGGGACCCCATGAGCAGGCAAGTGCGAAGGGCGGGCGGCCCCCAGGTGGGCCTGCTCCTGGGATCGAGATCCCAGAGCAGGAAAGTTCCCCACAGGCTGCACCCAGCAGGGCCTGCCCCCGGTCTCTGCAGTGATCCGGTGATCCATGAGCAGGAAAGCGCAGCCTGCAGGCAGCACCCCATCCTGGCCACAGCTCAAGGGAGAGAAAAACACGCAGTGGAGGTCAGGAGCCTGAGAGATTAACACAGAGGGACGCCTGCTCCAAGCCTCCACGGTGTGGCTGGGGGCAGGCCCCCAGCAGACACACACACTCTCACACACACACACACACACACACACACACACACACACACAGCACCTGCTCTGAGCCTCCAATGTGGCTGGGGGCAGGCC